TGAATCGTTAGTCAAACCGAATCCGGTCACAGTTAAAACCCAGATTTGAATTAAACCATCAAAAACTGCCAAAACCGGACCGACCGATTGGATGTCAAAACCGGGTTCACAACTTTTAAACCAAAAATTCAATGAAATTTTGAATTCCAAAACTGTGAGTCTGATATCTCTCACTCTCTAGATTAAATACAGTAGAAAGCCGTAAGCTGTAAACTATTTATCCTACTTTTTTCATAGAAATTCAACATCACGGAGAGAAGGTAAAGCGACTTTTCTTTTAAATTTACTTATGGTTCAACATATAATCTTTGATATTTCTTTTGATACTTATTATGTTCTTTTGTATTAGTTGGTCAAGAAAAAGTGGCACTATCGAATAAGAAAAAACTAGATTTTGACCCACGTCAAGCGTGAGATTAAATATTAAAATATATTTTATAATCGATTTTAATATTTAGATGTGTATTCTAATATTTATAAACGTACAAAATGATATGTATTGTGCATAAATATAATAAAATTAAATTTTTACCAAACATATTTCAATGTCATATGTTTTGATCAATTTGCATAAAAATATTAAAACTAATACAAATATTATTTATTTCAATTTAATTGAAGTGTCAAATTGAGTTTTATTATTTGTGTAAATAGTAGAGTATGCAATAAATCAAATAAATTTTAGATTTATATAAATTTGTTGGACGTAACAAACAAAAAATATATGTTTACTAATAATAAAATGTAAAAATATTTGTAAATATAGTTATCATATATAAATAAATAATATTGTTACAAATATAATAATAAAAAGCTTTTTTAATATACCAATTTTTTTTTTAAAGCATAGATGATATAGTAAGTTTAAATATTACATTTAGTCAAACTTAACTCGGTAAAATATATATTAATGGGTTTATATTATAAAATTAATAAAAACATATAGAGATTTCCACCATAGCATATAGTTTTAATTAAAATATTTTTATTAGTTAATTAAATGACATATTCCTTAAAACCTCATTGAATAATACATATGATTTTTTCACCAAATGTCGATTCAATTAATATATAGAGGATTAGTGGCATTTTAAATAAAAATTCAAAATGATGACATTTTTGAAAAGTGGCATTTCTAAAAAATTATCTGCATTTAGTCTAAGTATTATGCTAATTAAATTTTGAAAAATTTCAAAAAATGCCACTTTTCAAGTGCCACTTTACAAAAATGCCACACTTTTGAAATCTTTACAAAAATGCCACTTTTTCAAAATTATTTTTTCTTTACATCATTTATGTTTGGGTTAATTATGTTCTATTATGGTTTAGTTATGACGGTTTATGGAGTTTTAGGGGTCAAAACATTTTTTACGGTTTAGAATTTTAAGATATATGGTTTATAAATCTATAATTAGTGGCATTTTTGCAAATGGACACCCCTAAGTGGCATTCTTGCAAATGTGCACACAAAAAATGGAATTTTTGTAATTGCCCCTTAAATTTTGTTAAATAAAATATATTTATCTATACTGGAAATATATCTTTGTTATTTGTAATTTCTCCCGTATATAAAAAAATCTTGAATTTTTTTTTTAATATTCTAATCCCGTATTTAAAGCATATCAAAAAATCTAATAGTCATTGAAATAAAAAAGATATTCTCACATATATTTTATAGTTATTAAAGAAAATCTTTCATATTAATTACCACGTATTCTTTGTTTTCATATTTGTTTAATAGTTATATATTGTATATGTGATATAAATTTAGTCTAATTATTTACACAATAATATTATTAAGAAATTTTAATAGTTTTCCTTAAAAGTTTATTAAACTCCTCTTTGGATGATACTTAAGATTTCCTTAAAACATTTTTTAGTGTTTAGAATTTTAAGATATATGGTTTAAAAATCTATAATTAGTGGCATTTTTGCAAATGAACACCCCTAAATGACATTTTTGCAAATATACACATAAAAAGTGACATTTTTGCAATTTATCCAATTGATAATCACTTTGGTTGGATATTGAAAATTTTTAATGTGTTTTGTCAAGTTTTTATTCATGTTATCCTCTTTGCTTTTGTGATATATATAAATAAAATAAAAACTAAAAACCCGATTTAACTGGTTGGACCGGTCCGACCAGCCATCTAGTGATAATGCCGAGTCAGTGTCCGGTCTGGTTTTCAAAACATTAGTTTTATATCATGCTTTTCTATTAATTTAGATATTTTTGAATATTTACAGATACTTTTAGGTAATTTGGGTAATTTTTTACTGGGGATTTTCAGGTAATTCAGATATTTTCAGATACTTTTACATAGTTTGTTTTTTTCTGAGTTTTTGGATAATTTCGGATACTAAATAAAACTCAATCCGAAAATTAAAATTTGTCAAATGAAACTTATGAGTCTCAAACCAAAAACGCGAAAACTCAACAAAACTGACTCGAAATCATAACGGGTATCTGAACACCCATCCAACCCCTAGGTAAAACTGAAGGGCTAAAAGGTCATTTTGCA